TGACAAATTTTAAAGTTTTGGGCATACTGCTACTTTACAAAAAGATTTTGATTATTTGGTGAGTTGGGCAAATAATTTGCAGATGGCTTTTAATTATAATAAATGCAAAGTAATGCATGTGGGATATCACAATTTTAATTATGAGTATAATTCTGATTGGAATAACCTTAACAGTGTTATGGAAGAAAAAGATCTTAGTGTTCTGGTTGATCCATCTCGTATGCCTTCCAAGTATCGTGCTGTTGGTAAGGGCAGGGCCAATAGGACTTTATGTCATTTATACAGAAATATTGAATACAAATCTAAAGATGCTATAATGTCGTTGTATAGATTATTGGTTAAAACTGTCTAGGAAATTATGCGTAGTGGTTGTTGAAAAAAATAAAAAGAAGTATGTTATAGGTCAAACCACTAAGGAGTTAATATATATTTTTTTTTATATATGTTATTGAGGATACAACATTTTGGGCAATGCCCTTCTTCAGGTATCACTAACTGAACAGTAAATCCGTAAACAAAAACTTTCTAAATTGGAGGTCGCGTGACGTGACAATGTAACAAATATACGTGTATAACAATACCTTACAAACAATTGAAACCATAAAAAGTGATAAATATATATATATATAGATACAAGCGTGTGCACACACACATATATTTATATTTTATCTGTTATTACCTTTAGCTTAATGATATACTTGATTCTTCAGACTGTAGACAAATCAGAAAAGTAAAATCAGAAATAAAATGAGCAGCTGTGCCCTATTTTCTTTATTATTGGTCATGAAGTTTCAAAGTACTTCTCTTTAGAGTTTGAACTGCTAAACATTTCTCATTTATTTCTATGTTAATTTTACTGTCAATGACTAAAGTAGAAACCTGCTGAAAATATAGCAGTAAATCTCTGCTTGTGTCAGTAGACTGTTTACGTGACACCATAGTACGATACCCTAGAAAGCAACAAAGAATGTGGTAAGAGATAGCCGACTTGACCCTACTTCGAGTAAAGGATGTATAAGGTATTTGGATTATATATCCTACCTTTGTAGCTAGCTGACTTGACCCCTGCTCCAAGAAAAGGATGTCTAATGTATCGGTTTGTATATCCTACCATGTTTTTTGGGAAAATTCAGAGTAACCATACTGCACTTAGAATCAATGAAAACATTTATGCTGACAACAGGATGTGGACTTTATTGGCTTATGTATGTATCCTACAGTGTTTACAACAAGAATTCTCCATAGTAATAAGACTGTACTTTGAATCTGTCAAAAAGTTTATTATATGGTTTGGTGCCAATATAATAAACATCCACCATTATTTGAATATTGATAATCCATTTGGGATGTTTGGAATTTAGTGGCATAGGTGTACAAAGATATTATTTGAACACATGCTAATAAAATCCTGTTCCCTTGTTCACCACATTTATTTGTAAACCAATAAAAATTCATGTTCCACTACTACCTATCGCACTCATCTAGTCTTTTTTTAAAGTATAACACTACTTCCCCTGACATTTGTAAAATATTTTACCTTCCTAAGTGCTAGAAATAAAACCTGTTTTT